TTATGAAGAGACTTACTTTTACAATCGACGACTGACTTTTACATTTAAAACAGAGACAAATTCCAATTACGAAAATTTAAAAGTCAGCTGTCAAATGTAAAAGTCTCTTCATAAAACTCCATCAAGACATATAGGCACACTTTCTTTGTAGGTCATGGGGCATTCTCACACTTGTTTGACCTGATGTTTATTCCTAGGATTAATAGAAAATCAAAGTGGAAGGTCAGTGTCTTTTTGAAAAAGTATATATATGCGTGTTATGTTTCTCAACCTAAAGCGTGTTGAATTATTTATACTTTCTACCACTGAATGTTTTATTACAGCATGAGGAGGCTTCCATTCAGATGCTAGATAGGATCTTCGACCAAAACATGCATGATCTTCAAGAATGCGCAGAAATATATGGACTTGACCTACAGAAAAATTCTAAACATAGACAATTTATTAAGGATTTAATAAAAGGGGTACATATTAACATATTTAATATAAGATAATGTATATTTAATATTTTTAGGTCACCTGAGTAATCTAGGTTATCTAATGCTATCTCTTTTCGTCCATCGTCGTCAGTCGTACGTCGTACGTCGGTCGTAAACTTTTGAACATTTTCAGCTTCTTCTCTGGAACCACTGAACCAATTTCAACCAAATTTGTTATAAAGCATTTATGGATAAAGGGGAACAAAAATTGTGAATTTCATGGTCTCTCCCCCCACCTGGGGCCTGAGGGATGGGGCCAAAACCACTAAAATTAATGCAATCTTTCAAAATCTTCTTCTTTACTCCTGGACATCAAGCAGTCAAATTGTTTGCATGATTGTTATCAGCATTGAGTCTTCAATCAAAATTGTGAAATTCATGGCCCTGGGGTCAGGGGCTCTAGTGCTAGGGCGGGGCTAATTGATTATATAGTGAAAATGTATTATTAGCTCACCTGAGGCGAAGGCTCAAGTGAGCTTTTCTGATCAAAATTTGTCCGTTGTCTGTCGTCGTTGTTGTCGTTGTCGTTGTTGTCGTAAACTTTTCACATTTTCATCTTCTTCTCAAGAACCACTGGGCCAATTTCAACCAAACTTGGTACAAAGTATTCTTGGGTGAAGGGGATTTAAGTTTGTTCAAATGAAGGGCCACGCCCTTTTCCAAGGGGAGATAATCATGAATTTGTTAAAAATTAATGGCATTTTTAAAAAATCTTCTTCTCAAGAACCACTGGGCCAGGAAAGATGAAACTCGTGTGGAATCATCCTCAGGTAGTGTAGATTCAAGTTTGTTCAAATCATGACCCCCGGGGCTAGGGTGGGGCCAAAATGGCCGACCCTAGTTTTACATAGGAATATACAGGAAAAATCTTTAAAAATCTTCTTCTCCAGAACCACTGGGCCAGGAAAGATGAAACTCATGTGGAATCATCCTCAGGTAGTGTAGATTCAAGTTTGTTCAAATCATGACCCCCGGGGCAAGGGTGGGGCCAAAATGGCCGACCCAAGTTTTACATAGGAATATATAGGAAAAATCTTTAAAAATCTTCTTCTCCAGAACCACTGGGCCAGGAAAGATGAAACTCATGTGAAATCATCCTCAGGTAGTGTAGATTCAAGTTTGTTCAAATCATGACCCCCGGGGCAAAGGTGGAGCCAAAATGGCCGACCCTAGTTCTACATAGGAATATATAGGAAACATCTTTAAAAATCTTCTTCTCCAGAACCACTGGGCCAGGAAAGATGAAACTCATGTGGAATCATCCTCAGGTAGTGTAGATTCAAGTTTGTTCAAATCATGACCCACGGGGCAATAGTGGGGCCAAAATGGCCGACCCTAGTTTTACATAGGAATATATAGGAAAAATCTTTAAAAATCTTCTTCTCCAGAACCACTGGGCCAGGAAAGATGAAACTCATGTGGAATCATCCTCAGGTAGTGTAGATTCAAGTTTGTTCAAATCATGACCCCCGGGGCAAGGGTGGGGCCAAAATGGCCGACCCTAGTTTTACATAGGAATATATAGGAAAAATCTTTAAAAATCTTCTTCTCCAGAACCACTGGGCCAGGAAAGATGAAACTCATGTGGAATCATCCTCAGGTAGTGTAGATTCAAGTTTGTTCAAATCATGACCCCCGGGGCAAGGGTGGGGCCAAAATGGCCGACCCAAGTTTTACATAGGAATATATAGGAAAAATCTTTAAAAATCTTCTTTTCCAGAACCACTGGGCCAGGAAAGATGAAGCTCACGTGGAATCATCCTCAGGTAGTGTAGATTCAAGTTTGTTCAAATCATGACCCCCGGGGCAAGGGTGGAGCCAAAATGGCCGACCCTAGTTTTACATAGGAATATATAGGAAAAATCTTTAAAAATCTTCTTCTCCAGAACCACTGGGCCAGGAAAGATGAAACTCATGTGAAATCATTCTCAGGTAGTGTAGATTCAGGTTTGTTCAAATCATGACCCCCAGGGCAAGGGTGGGGCCAAAATGGCCGACCCAAGTTTTACATAGGAATATATAGGAAAAATCTTTAAAAATCTTCTTCTCAAGAACCACTGGGCCAGGAAAGATGAAACTCATGTGGAATCATCCTCAGGTAGTGTAGATTCAAGTTTGTTCAAATCATGACCCCCGGGGCTAGGGTGGGGCCAAAATGGCCGACCCAAGTTTTACAAAGGGATATATAGGGAAACCTTTTAAAATCTTCTTTTCAAGTACTTCAAAGCTATGATTAGTGATATTTATATGGAATCATCCTCAGGTAGTGTAGATTCTAGTTTGTTCAAATGATGAATGCCTGGAGGGGGGGGGGGAGTAAATTCAACCCCGATGTGCTCAGGTGAGCGCTGTGGCCCCTGGGCCTCTTGTTTCTTTGAAAATCTTCTCCTCTGCTCTTCTCTGCTCTTGGGCATTAAATAAACTAAACAAGTACATAGTTATAATGTATAAGACTGCCTCTTCCCAATTTGTGAATTTCTGGGTCAGGGGTTCTGGTGTTCGGGTGGGGCTCTATTGATTATATCGTGAAAATGCATTATTTCTTTGAAAATCTTCTTCTCTGCTCCTTGGTATCAAATAAACTAACTAAGTACATAGTTATGATGAGCAAGAGTAATTCTTTGAAAATTGTGAATTTTATGGCCCCAGGGTCAGGGGTTCTGGTGTTAGGTGGGGTTGTATTGATTATATAGTGAAAATGCATTAATTCTTCGAGAATCTTCTTCTCTGATCCTGGGTATCAAATAAACTAAGTAAGTACATAGTTATGGTGAGCAAGAGTGCCTCTTCCAAAATAGTGAATTTTATGGCCCTTGGGTCAGGGGTTCTGGTGTTAGTGCGGGCTCTAATGATAATATAGTAAAAATACATTAATTCTTTTTAAATCTTCTAAGCTCCTGGGTTTTATATAAACTAGCTTAGTATATAGTTATAATGCCTCTTCCAAAATTTTATTTTATGGCCCCTGTGTCACGGGATTTGCCATTTGGTTTATAGGGTTTTTGGGCTCTTTTGATTATATAGTGAAAATACATTAATTCTCTGAAAATTGTTTCCTTTGCACCTGGGTATTATGCTAATGATCCAAGTATATATAGTTATGATGAGCAAGTCAGTGCCACTTCCAAACCGATTAATTTCATGCCCCTTGGGTCAGGGGTAGGGGGGGGGGTTGTTACATATTCTGAAAATAAATTAATGCTTTGAAATCTGCTCTTTGGTATTAATCTACCATTTATGATGAAATAAAATTTATGAAAAAATTTCCAAAATTTTGAAATATGTGGCCCCATGGTCAGTGGTTCCTTTGCGATGGGTTGCACAACGGTTTTAATTAAAGTGGAAATGCATTTGCTCTTTGTTATTCTGATCTACCTCTGGGTATCAAGTAAATAGAGTAAGCATTCTTAGTTTATGATTAAGATAAGCAATGGTGCCTCTTTTAAAATTGTGAATTTCATGGCCTCTGGTTTAAAACATGAACCAAATTCAATTAATGGAAAGTTGTTACATGATACTCAGGTGACCTATAAGGCCCGTGGGCCTCTTGTTCTATATCTCACTCTCGTTTTCAGTAGTAACCTCTCTCTCTCTCTTCCTCTCTCTCTCTCTCTCTTCCCTCTTAAATTCTTTCTCCCCTTTCTCTCTCTCTTCCCTTCTCCCATCTCTCTTTTTTCTTTTCTCTCTCCCCTCCCCTCTCTCTCCCTTACTTTCTCTCTTCCTTTCTCTTACTCAATTTCTTTCTTTCTCTCCATCTCTCTTCCTTTCTCTCTCCATCTATCTCTTTTATTTCTCTCCCTCTATCTCATGTATTTTCATACATGCACAATATTTTAGAAAGAAGATAAAAAATTAGGGATTCAAATTGTATGTAACTGCCGTTGAATTAGACGGCCACCAAAGCATTTTTCAGTGTAATTTTTTTTTAATTACATATTTATGCTTCTAATTATTTCTTTTTGTAGAGGTGTTTTTAAAAAGTTTATTTTATTAATCAATTATAATGAAACTTTTTTTTCAGAAGAAGGACAGAAAGCAAAAAGATGCTAAAAAGGACTTTCTTTACGAGGTAATTAAAAAAAAAAACAATTCTTTTACTGCAGTTTATTAATTTTTTGGAAAATATGATAGAATTTTAAATTTCAGATTGTGGCTAATGAAGAGAATAAAATTGACGTGGATAAATGGGATTACTTTTCTAGAGATTGTCATATGCTGGGTCTGAAGCATGACTTTCAGATCATGCGAAGCATAATGCTGGCTCGTGTCATCAAGTACAAGCGGGGACACCGCATTTCGTTTCCCAAAAAGGCAGGTCTTTTATGAAAGCATATGATTTTACCAGAGTATTTGAAAATTTTCTATTTCTAATCAAAGTATCAATTGACTGTATAAAAATGTTATATTCACCAGAATCATGAACAACCTTTGAGATCACGACTGGGATCATATGATTTTTTTAAAGTGATATGATTAATACGATTTGAGAAAAAAAATATATTACAAACATATCGGTTTATCTTTCAGGAATACATGAATATTTTCGATATGTACCACACACGCTATACCCTTCATCGCCGGGCTTACCAGCATCCGGTCAACAAAGCCGTTGAACTAATGTTAGTTGTGTATGAGTGTAATTGCTGGAGGTGTACTTTGAATACAATAAAAAAGCAACACCATATTGAATTAAAATATTGTCAGTCATTGCTAGGTCATTGCCACCATTTGTTTATTTTATACTTGCCATATTTTTTTTTTATCAGCGATTGCCCAATCATTTTCAGTGCTGCATTTATTTTTTTCTTCAAACAAAAAAATCAATTACTGCTATCATTTTTTGAATGCATTTTTTTTTAAAACAACACCCATGAAAGTGTTAATATGAAACATGTATTTGAATTGCTGAAAGATTTTGATAAAGACTTTTCCGTTTTATTCTTCCTAATGAAAAAAGACAATGTAAGTACTTAAAAAAGAAATGTTGAATTGTTTGTAGACTTCTAATTTTTTTGACACAGGATTACAGATGCGCTGGTTTTGGCTAATGACAAGCTGACGTACAGTTATAGGTATGTTTGTTGTACATATTAGGTTTGTTTGTTGTACATATCTTCGAAAAAATAATAAAGTACGTGTGATACATATGCTGTTTTACATTGATATCTTTTTATATTATAGAGAGGGAACTAAACAGAAAAAAATGCCACTTTCAGACACCATTAAAAACATGGAAGCATATAGTCTCGTCACAGATGACGTCATTGATCGTATCCGTTTTGAGAATTTCAAAGCTAAAAAATTCCAGGAGGCTAAAACGATAATTAATAGAATTTTCAGACGTGATTTGTATAAATGTGTCGTAGAGAGAAGAGTTACAAAGGTAGAGGACGAGGTTTGTCATTAATGTTTCTTTGATAAGAAATAATACAAATTATTTTCTTTTTGACCCAATTGACAGCACAATTGATATGAAAAGTTTGAAATTATAACTGGTAAAAGAGTATTTTCTAATATTCAATCCGATTAATTCATTGGTTTAATGATAGGAATTTGATTGAATAAACAAGACATTGAAGACATGCTCAAGTCCTCATGTTTTTGTGCTATTAATGTCAAACATAGATGCTTGATAACAATAAACTAGAGAGCAGGGGGACAATACAAAAATCAACAAATTTAAAAATAAAAACATACATATTTGACCATGTGTAAGGACTGCATTGCTGATTAAATTCATTGTTCCAACTGCATGACTGAATTTGTTCCTATTTGCGTTACTGTAAATGTTGCTAAGGTTATTAAGGTCTTCCGCTCAGACGGAAGACCTTCTACCGATTCTGATGGTTAAGATTATTCCCTATTATTCTTTTTTTTGTTTTTTTTTTTCCTAGATGCCAACTTTGAGACCTCATAACTTGCTCATTTCTTAACGAATTTTGCTCAAATTTTCAGAGTTTTTAAACGTTACAAAACTCAATTAGAATGTTTTCAAAAATCTCAAAAATTCCCTTCCGCTTTTGAGTTATTTCCCTTTAAATGAAATATGGCTGGAGCAGAAATCCTACTGAATTCAAATACTAGAAGAATTGAAGTTGTGCACATCGCTTTTTCTTTTTCGATTTCTGCCCTCAAAATGGTGCTAGATAGGGGTCAAAAATGAGAATGCCTAAAAGCGCAAAAATTTACATATATTTCCTAATGTATCTTTTAAACTAAAAATAATTTGTTAAGACATGTTGAACAAGTATTGTGCATAATTTTAAGATCTATCATTTTACATCATTAAAAAGGGGCTGGCCCCTCAAATTAGGGATCTAGGGACCTTGAAAGACCTTGAAAGTTTTTGCTCTATAACTCAAAAACGGTAAATATTTCGATATGGTTATCGATATGAAATGGGTTCTTTAACATCTTATTGATCTCATGAAAACGTTATTTTGTTCGAGTCATGTGTTATTAAATGAGCAGAAAACTTTATAATCCATGTACAGGTAAATGATTTTATACGGCAAGTGAAGAAGAATTCTATGTGCGTATGCGTATAACACGTATATAACTGAAATAAACTGGACAAGAATAATATTCCTATAGCTAAATTGAATGTTTAACTTTGTTTAAATAAGTTTTTAACGTATTCTCGAGCTGGATGTCATACAGATTATTCAGAGACAACTTTCTCCTTGTGTTTAGTTTAAAGAACAAGACGGGAGAGAGGAAAAATACTTTTTAAGTATTAATATTCAATGTAACATTATTTATTTAAAATAAATTCAAGCTTAAGATAATTCATTGTCATTCAATTCATGCATCGTGAAAGTTTTGTGTGTACAGTGTGCGTGTTGTGTGTGTACAGTTATCACATGGTTTTGAAACCCGTTTATCGATCGCGCAGTGAACTGTATACATTCGTGAGGTCAACATTAACGCTCTTTGATTTTTACTAGAGTCCTAGATTTAAGATCAAGAAAATATGTCATTTGCGCTAATCGTAAGAATATACACAAATATAAAGGTTTTCTTGAACATAAATATAAAGGTTTTCTTGAACATGATTTAAAAGTGTTGAATGTCGGATTCTATTCTTTGACGAATAAATAAAAGGTGCTGCGTTTACGCGCGCTTTTCTCATCTGCTGAGGTATCTATGGACGAGTTCATCGGTTACACTGAAGGGTGACACAGGGTGACCTATCGATAACTCTGCCAATTTTGATAGTGATTTAAATTGCACATGTACATAAATTAATGTTAAATTCTACCCTTGTGAAGAACGTTATAGTCTCGTTATTTGAAAAATTGGGGATATCAATACTGCCACTTGTTTTTGATTTATACGGATGATTCTACTTTTGGAAAGGTACACATGTAGTACGAGGATTTTTTAGGCCCCGTACCCCCCTCCACTTTGAAGTAATTGCAATCGTTACATGTATACGGGCCTATATCAAGTTATTCTAATTGCTTTATATCATAAAAACTTGCGATGCTGTTTAAATTAGCAAATACAAATAAACATGGCAAATGCGCACAGTAAATTGTAAGTGGAAGTGACATTATTTTCCAATTCTCATGAAAATCGAAAATTAAATGAAGCAACTTTGAGTTTTGCATGAATTGATACATAACTTATAATTGTATTGTACCGAATGTATTTCTTTTATTTCCTCGAATAAAAAGAATATCACTATGACACTATTTTACGGGTACATGATTGTAACTAAGTAAATGCTGTTTTACACGGAGGAGCCCCCAAAATATATACATTCCGAGCTTTCAGAATACGAGAGAAAAAAATGAATAATTAGAATTTTTTTTTAACAAATGCAAAATTGTTTCTGAGAAAGCCATGTAGTTGCAAACAAATATTTCAAGCAATTCTTTCGTGTTTATTGGACTAAAAGAGATTAGTAAATTTCCTCTCATCGCGATACGTAACCCCCTTCCCTCAAATGATACAATGTTTTCCTTCAGAGCCGAGAATGTCAATTGGTTAGTTTGTTCAGGTACGTACAGGTCAGGACTGGTGTTGAAATCCATGATAAATTCATAACCTATTATAATGTTAACAAATAGTCATATGCGACATTTTTTTATTCGCAGCTCGTCAAATAAATGAAAAAAAAAAAGATTAGTATGCGTCACTAAACTTTCCTATATATAAACGTTTTAATTTCTAAAACTTGTGCCGATTAGCTCACACACCGACACACACACAAACGTTTTGGTAGCTCGGAATAGTCCATGCAGAGTAAAACTATATATATTTTCTTGATGGCGGAATGTCCAGTACATGTTAGCCTGGTCCCCTGTCTCATCCTTGCCAAGGCCTAGCGACGCGGAGAATCAATCTCCTATGCAGAGTTGTCGTTCGTTCTCTCTCAGACAGTATGAGCCGATGGTAGAGAGTGGCGGAGAATACGAAGGGAACCAGGCTAAGTACATCTAATGTTCACGTCCGGGATAGTCCACGGCGGATCTAAAAACTTCCTTAGATAAATACTGAGTGACAAATTCCTTTTTACTATTTAAACTCAAATTGATATTAGGTAAATAATTTAAGCATATGTCAAAAATAAGCATTAAAAATAATTCTTTTCATAAAATTAAATTCTGTTTAAACAATATAAATCACTAGCTGCGCAAAGACAGACTTAAAAAAAATCATAGGTGGAATCAGGCGAATTTAATCCTTTTATGACACAACCTACCCCGTAACTAGACAGTTGTGTATGATGTATATGTTCTCATCGAAATGACCGGTCTCCGCGTCTTGAACCTCCAACGTACATGTATTGCATGCACTTGAATAATATGTATTAATAAGTCTTTAAGGAAATCTCATGTAGGAAACCTGATTTATATTCTAATATTTTCCATTATTTTTTATTATTCGTTCTTCTTAATTTATCATGTTCAAATTACATGTATTTATTTTTTAGGGACGTTAAACCTTATTCGTCAGCCAGTCTGTCCATCTGTCACGAGAACTTTAAACTTGATAATAACTATTGAATGAGTTGAAATAGGACTTGTGTCATCTTTGTTTGTGACATCTGATTTTCAAATATACTGTGATTTATGACCCTGTGACCTTGATCTTGGAGCTTGACCCACTTAAAAAAAATAACATTACTTTAAATTGACCATAACTTTTGAAAGCTTCCATTTTATAAAAATGTATTAACTGTAACAACACCTTTCAAAATTCATTGATTTTTTACCCTTTGACCTTGAAGTTTGACCTGCTTTTGAAAAACATTAACAATACTCATACCTTTTGAATGAGAAGAGATAGGGCTTTTATTTTATCCCTGTGTATTACCTAAGACAACTCTGACTTTTGACAACTTGACCTTGAGGCTTGATCATAACTTTTTAATGAGGAGAGATAGGGCTTTCATATTACACAAACATCACATGTACGTAACCTGTGATAAAATCATTTCAAATACTAGTATATCATGAACTTTGGCCCTGAAGTTTAACCGGCTTTTCCAAAATTTAACCATTGCTTATAAAATTGACCATAACTTTTTACACATGTATATTAGCTGTTACAAGACCTATAAAAAAGGTATGGCTTAAATCATGCAGAGTGTGTTATGGCCTTGATTCAAGGTCATTTAGGATAAGATATTTTGGCTGGATGCATTGTTTGAAAAAAACATGTGTGGTTTTGTCAATACGGTAGCAAACAAATGGAATATGCTCATCACCAGCGTGTGTCATGGTGTGACCCAAGGTCATTTTGACAAGGTCAAGGTCGCAAACATCCTTAACTATCCTTTTTAAATAGTAAAACATAATAAGATGTTATCTACCCTTAAAAGATTGCTTTAACATTAGAACGTGGCATGACCTTGACTCAAGGCCATTTCTCTGTCCGTAGCCCCGACGGAAGACCTACTCGTTGCTTTGCAACGAGCTCGGCTCTAGTTAATGATACATATTGTGAATGGCATTTCACAATGAAATTATGTGGATCTGAAGACCCAAATAACAAAATGATATATATGTACATATTACCTTTTTATCCAGTTGTAAATTGTAAATTTTGATTACAGTCGAACACACTTAACCCTCTCGGCTTCTCATTTACACGAAAGTTAAGTGAAAGTGAAACAGTATTATAGCATATTAATTAGATATGGAATTTCATATTCCTTTTCAGAAGTGTAGAGAAAGCAGAGTCTATAAAGATAGAATTAAGAAATGGGACATCCACATTGAGGTAAAGTAAATGTTTTTCGTTTACGATGTGAAAGAAAAACCTTTTTCGATTTCTCTGTCATAGATGCTATTGTACAATGTATTCTTCCAATTTTCTCTTCTTAGTTAATGGCTAGTTTCCTAATACCTCGTATAAATATTTTTTTAAAAATCAGTACATTGTCTAAACAAAAGATTTCTAATTTTATTAGCCAGTTGTATTCAGTTACGGGGCTGAAACGGAAAACCCTATGGACAAAGTTCTCTTTGATATCGGCGGTATCGAAGTAGACCCAACTGAAGAGGTATTAAACTAGGAAATTTGAATTTTAACAAATACCCTATCCATTATATAAATTTCTTTGCATCAATATATATATAAATGTGTGTGTCTCATGTTGTGTATCATGTTTCATATTGTTTTTCAATTCCAGAAAAAGTGTGTGTATTTTTTGTTACAATTTATCCTGACACACGATAATTCGTAAATATAATTAATATGTGTTTTTTTCTTCATTTAGAAATCTGCCATGCTCCCTAGAGTCTTTGAGGAAACTTACTTACGTATGTACTGGAAAAAATCCTCTGTAAAAGGGAATGAATTCAAAGACGCAGAAAACTGGTTTAAAAATCTAAAAGGTGGGCCTTCAATTAAAAATAAAGGAAAAATACAGATAAAAAATACTTAGTATCATGAGGTACGAAACCTGTGAGTATGATATATTCAACAAGAAAAGTTGTTATTTCCACTTGATATAGTCTCGTAAAATTTTTATCACTTCAATATGGACAAAACAACTGAGATTTACCTACTGTATATTTTTAAAAAATGATTTATAGGTGAAATAAATATAAACTAACATATATTTGTCTTATTTGAGATCATTTCATTTTCACTTTAGATCATTTTAATTTTAGGTTTATTACAGGTAAATACTCTTTATTGGACTAATTTTTAGGAAAATAATTTTAATTTTAATTGAGTTTTTTTTTATTCTTCATCAAAATTATGTTTGGTGTTTTTGCATGGTTTTTTGCTAGGTTTTTATTATTTTTTTTTTTAACAATTAAAAAAATGGTATATTATTAACAAAAACTCATTTCTGTCTGTTAAATAGACTTCGAATTGGCTGGAAAGCGATATCATCTCCATCGCAATCCAAAGCAAAAGAAAGTACGACGACTTGGTGTCAAGAACAAAGGAACTAGGAATACAACGCGCCCTCGACAAAGGAGGAAAACTAACTCAGTGTAGTTTGGTTTTTTGTGCAACACTTCACATGTCTTTGATTGTCTTGAGTAGGACAAGACATTTTTAGTAGGTCAAGAATATTTAAGAAAAAATTTGACTGTAGGAAAATAACCGATAAAATTACTTCATAATGTTTTTAAAAGGACCTTGCAGCTCTCAGGGTCTCATGAAATATGTGATAAGATATTAGAAAAGAAGAGTGTTTGTGAAAAATTTAATGCTATTTTTGTCGTTGAATTTTTAATTTTTATTGGCCTTTTCAGTTCAGATTTTTCAGTTACCTTTTAAACAGCTGTTCAGACAGCCCCGTAATGAAAATAGTGTGCAATTTACGGTGGATGATTTTCTGCGCACGGTTGGTGAGAATTTTTCCATTTTCCAGCATTGGTCAATCAATTACATTCCTTTCACAATCTGCAAAAAATTCTTTACCCAGTCTGTATATTTTATTTACCGCCCGACCCTTCATACTTGTCTCTACAGACTTGTATGAAGGATTGAGAGGTAAATAAATCAAGTTGCTGAAACAAATACATCAGTAGTCTCCTTTAAAGTCATCATTTTGTAAGTTCTATGGTCGATAATATGACCTTTTCAGCAAATACAATTTTTCATTGAGTTAAATGCTGACTGACGATTTTCATACTAATTGTTAGACCATTATTTACACACTGAATTGACGACGGATTTTCCTTATATTTCTCGATCATGACAAGGGGCACATGATGTGAGCGGTCGACAGGGGATGCTCACTTTTCCATGGCACCTGATCCCACCTCTGATCTTTGGAGGTCGTGTTTGTTCTGCTCCTATTTTGTATTGTTATGCGCCCGGATCGAAAGATCCGAGGCGTATATTGTTTTTGTCCTGTCTGTCTGTTTGTCTGCAAACTTTAACCTTCGCCATAATTTTTGAATCATGAATGATAGAGACTTCATATTTGGCATGCCTATTCCACTAATAAAGCTCTTTCAAATGACACCAAGGTCAATGACCTTGTGACCTTGACTGTGACCTATATGCTAAAAATAGAGGTTTTTTTTACAAACTTTAAATTTTGCCATAACTTTTGAACCATAAAAGATAAAAACTTCATATTTGGTATACATACAACACTTATTAAGCTTTTTTAAAAGACACCATGGTCAATGACCTTGTGACCTTGACTATGGCCTATACGCTAAATATAGCTTTTTTGACGGCAAACTTTAACCTTTGCCATAACTTTTGAACGAAGAAAGATAGAGACTTAATATTTGGCATGCATACTCCACAAAACAAGCCCTTTCACATGACATCAAGGTTAATGACCTTGTGACCTTGACTGTGTCTTATATGCTAAAAATAGCTTTTTTGAACCTTCACCATAACTTTTGAGCCATGAAAGATAGAGACTTCATATTTGATATGCATACTTCACTAATCAAGATCTTTCAAATGACACCAAGATCAATGACCTTGTGATCTTCACTGTGACCTTTATGCTAAGTATATGTTTTTTTAAATTTGTTGCCGCCGGGCGCATATTGTTTCACAAACACATCTTGTTTAGTGAACTTTTGATCTTTAATACTGTTTGTTATCTCTATATATTTTACCAATAAACTTACTAGTTTTGATTTTTGTCGGATGACATGAAATTCAAAACAATTCTTTATAGATGACTTTAAAGGGTTGAGAAATACTAGTATATAAAATACTGAAGTTTGTTTAAAAATATGTCTAGAACTAGGGAGAGAAGGGTAGTTGATGGTCCAAAGCTGGAAAGTAGTTCTTACCAATCATGAGCAGAAAACCCTGCGCCGTAAATTGCACATTATTTTACAGGATCTGTAGCATTATGGTCAAAGACTATAATGTAAAACCATATCACTACAGTTCTGAAGCTTGCAAGTTTCAACTGACTTAAATTTATCACATGAATTGAATTTAACACATTTTTTATGTATGCATTTTTTGGTGGTTTTTTTTTAATACCAGAACAATTCACTAATTTTTGACAAATAAATAATTTTTTCATGGTGTCAGGGTGAATTTTGTACATTTAATATGTTCGTTGTTTGACTGTCTCTGGAGATTTATGCCTTTCTTTACATTTATATTGCAAATGATCTATCCTAAATTACTTTATAAGACCTCCGAGGGTCATGATTTGAACTATCCGAGGATGTATCAACATAAATATGACTTTGTTGATTTCCTATATGTACCAGCATGTATGTAAGTCTTCATCGTTTTTTTTTATTATACATAAGTGTACATTTAAGACCGGTTATCCCCCCATCTCTTTTTAAAAATTTTATGCCGAAAAGTTGTTTTATGAAAAAAGAGAAAGAAAAACAAACAAAAACTGAAACAAAGTAGAACTGGCAACTAAAACAAATATTTAGTACATTTTATTTGAGTTTAACAATTAAAGTACTGTGTCCAAGTACCTTTAAGGAAGGTCCATACTTTTACGGATCCGGTTTTAATTTTACACACCAATAAAAAATTCCGATTATCACTTGTCTTTTGAAATAAAATCTTTTAGGATCACCGAAAATAATTTAGCAAGTATAAATTTGTTTATTATCGTACCATTGTGCATACAAAGCATTTATTATACATTATTTATGGAAATTTACATTTGCACTTTGTCCATAAGATCTATGTGTCATTTAGCACATACACAAAAATCTTGATTGCCTTTATGGACCTAAAGCTTTTAATTTTTTTTTTCAATAAACTAACTTGAAATATATATTTATTGAGTTTAAGCCTATATTATCTTTTCAAATTTTACTTTCTTTAAAATTTTGCAAAGAATGATTGAAAAAATGATACTCGAAAGAATGGGGTATATGTGTTTAGGGGCTGTTTTGTTAAATTCATCTGGTCAGCCATTTAAAAAAGTATGTGTTCTTGTTAACCTTGAATATAATTCTTAATAGTTTCTAGAAAAAATGGCATATTAATCGTTTAGAATTTGAAAATTAGTAAAAGTAAAGAAATTTTGCGATCTTTTTTTTATGGAAGACGTGGACCGATTCAATACCAATTCGTTACTGTTTTCCAATAAAGATTTCAAATATTTTCTTGGCAAATGAATATTTTTGATTACCATAAGTTTTAACATAAATTTGATGTAATCTGGTGCATAGCGAAATAAAATATGATATCACACTTCTTTTATGTTCAATTTTTGCGTTGAATTTTATGGGAGGTACTTGAAGACCTGTATGAAAATTAACCTGCAAAACAGGAGCAGAGCAAACAAGGAATTCTAGTGAGCATCCCCTGCCGACCGGCGAGTGTTTCTTGTCATGATTGGGAAATAACGGACAAATCCATCGTCAATTCAGTGTATAAATAATAGACTAACAATTAGTATGAAAAACGTCAGTCAGCACTTGACAATGATCAATTGTATTCGCTGAAAAGGTCATTGTATGGACCCCCGTGGGGATCCGGGTTAGAATAGGTCCTCAGTACCCCCTTGCTTATCGTAAAAGGCGACTAAATGGGGCGGTCCTTCGGATGAGACCGTATAAACCGAGGCCCCGTGTCACAGCAGGTGTGGCACGATAAAGATCCCTCCCTACTCAAAGGCCGTAAGTGCCGGGCATAGGCACAGGTACTTGTGGACAGGACCTCCCCCCCCCCCCCAATATACACCCCTGGTCAAAATATCTTTTTAATTTTTTTTTCTCATGAATTATGTTTCTAGTACTTATTTACAATGTATTCCATATGAAAAACCCAAAAAATAACATAGATTTAACGATTTACCAAAAAAGTCATACCCTGGTATTATTTTATAAAAAGATATTTTGACCAGGGGTGTATTTTTTAGGGGGGGGGGTCCTGTCCACAAGTACCTGTGGGCATAGGCCTAAATTTGCAGCCCTTTACCGGCAATGGTGACGTCTCCATATCAGTGAAATATTCTGGAGAGGGACGTTAAACAGTATACAATCAATCAATCAATCAATCAATCAATCATTGTATGGACCATATAATTTGCGTATATCACAAACGATACAAAACTGGAGCAGAGCAAACACGGACCTCCAAAACATTAGAGGTGGGAGCAGGAGCAACAGAGGAGTGAGCATCCTCTTCCAACTGGTTACCCCCCGCCGCCTGCTCCTTGTCATGAACGGGAAATAACGGACAAATTCATCGACAATTCAATGTGTATATAATAGCCTTTAGTCTGAAAACGTCAGTCAGCATTTGACTCAATAATGAATTGTATTTGCTGACAATGTCATTGTAACCACCATAGAATTTATTAAATGATTTTTTAAACGAGACTGCTGGAAATTTTGTTTCAGTAATTTGTCTGTCAATAGTTTACCTCTTTCTAAAAATTGTTTATACGTAGTGTATGCTCTTGCGTATCGAATAAACAGAGAGATATATAAACCCAGTATTCAGGTGATGAAAGTATATATTGTTTCATAAGAAAGGGAAGTTGACGATTGAAAAGTTAAAGTTATCACGTTTATCATAAATCTTGGAAGTTAGATAACAATAACCATTACCTTCTTTTTTTAATTAAAATATCTAAATATGAAACAGATGTGACAGATTCTGTGGTATCTTTTATTTCAAAATCAACGGGATCGTCGTATCGAAATAGTAATGGAAATAACCATTGTTAATTGACAATATCTAAATGTTGGGTTCAATGTCAAGCAAGTGGTTTTTTTAAACGAATAAGATTATGAATGCAAAAAATAGGTCTGCTAATATTTGGGCACAATCAGTACCCATGGAATACCAATAGATTATTGGAGGATCTGGTCTCCAAAATCCACCTACATGTAGATGTACCACAGGGGCATCTTATCCACTCTGTTCTCTACTTCACATTATATGTGAAGTAGAGAACAGAGTGGATAAGATGCCCCTGTGGATGTACTGTCAATCAGAAAATCAAGCATCCTTTTATTATCAACTTCTGTGTACAATAAGAATGTTTTTAACAAAATAATTTTTCAAATAACCAATGAAAGTAAATATTTTGCGTGCCAACCATTTGTCCCAGTAAGGAAAGGAACTTGTTTCAGATCGCATTTCTGATATGAAAATATAAGATATTATTTTCATTTTAATAGTAAAGTTATCATTTGAAGAGGAGAAAAGGTTTGAAATTGATATCAAGTCAGGCGTGTTTTTACAAAACGGTTAACCTGTTACATCTATTGATTTTTAACCCTTTCTCTACCATCAGTACAATTTCAATGTTATTATTGTTTCCTTTTTTACAGGACTAAAATATCAAACCATGATTTTCGTCTTGGTATTCGTTTCATTTCTAAGTCTTCCAGTTGCAGAAATGCTTTTTGCGAGCTCTAGGGGTTTGTTTCCTTCATTTTGAAAAAAAAATCTTATTTTTAATTTAATATGAAATATAATTATAAATAATAATTATTATGGCAGAGATATCATTACTCTTTACCAA